GGCTGAATTTATCTCCCTTAGCCATAAGGGTGTGACCTGTTTTACAATTTTGTTTTACAATTTTACATGCCAAATCTTTTAAGAACCTTCTCGATATAGCTCTTTTGTGATAATCCAAGTATACCCCGAGAGTGATCCCGATGTATTTGTATGCCTAATACAAAAGAGGGGTTCCCAATATCTTTCATCTCAAATTTATTTCATAGAAATCTCTTGGTTTTGTGTAATAAGCCTATATCTCTACTGACAAGCAATATGTCATTGACATATAAAACCAGAAAAATATGCTTAGTCCCACTAACCTTGTGGTACACACAATCATCGACTACGTTCATCTTAAAACCGAATTTGATGATAACTTGATTAAACTTATAATACCACTGACGAGAAGCTTGCTTAAGCCCATAGATGGATTTCTTCAACTAGCAAACCATCTTTTTTGCATCTCCCTACACAAAGTTTTCTGGCTACACCACATAAATTTTTTCATCGATGTCACTATTGAGAAACATAGTCTTTACATCTAGGTTAAAATATGTCATAAGTGCCATGATTATCCTGAAAGAGTCTTTCAATGAAACTAGAGAGAAAGTCTCTTTATAGTTGATGCCCTCTTTTTGTGTAAAACCTTTAGCAACAAGACGAGCTTTGTACCTCTCCACGTCATCTTTTGAGTCCCTCTTGATCTTAAATATCCGGTTGCAACCAATGGGCTTTGCATCTTTAGGCAATAGGACAAGATCCCAGACGTCATTGTCCTTTATCAACTTTATCTCTTTATTCATGCCATCAATCCATTGTTGAGATTTAGAACTTTTCATGGCTTGACGGAAGTTGATTGGATCATCTTTCACCATACCGATGTCATCCTTATATTCTTGGAGAAATATAATATAATTATTTGGAACCGCACTTCTCATTTCTCTAGTAGATCTTTTAAATAGCAGAGGTTCTTGAAGTGGCAGAGTTTGTTCTTCTGGAACAATTTCTGAAGCGGGGGGTTCTATGACAATGTCTTGATTTGAATTTGTTTCTTAAATAATGTTAGGAATAGAAGCCTGATTAATGCCAATAGCAGCTATAGGAATATTAACATATTCCTCTTCAAAGACAAAGTCTTTAACCTTATCTCCCCTTACAAACTCAACATCCTCAAAGAACCGAGCGTTTCTCATCTCAAATATTGACTTGAAAGTAGGATCATAAAACTTGTAACCCCTAGATCTCTCAGAGTAACCAACAAACTAGCAACTGATTGTTCTAGATTCCAGTTTCTTGTCATGTGTCCTATAAGGCCTAGCCTCAGCTACACATCCCTAAATATGCAGATGCATCAGACTAGGATTTTTGCCTGTCTAAAGTTCACAAGAGATTTTGGCAGTCGTTTTAGTGGGTACTCTATTGTGTATGTAAGCTGTAGTCTTTAATGCTTCTCTGTAGAGAGATTCTGGTAAGTTTGAATGATTAATCAAACTCCTTACCATGTCCTTCAGTGTTATGTTTCATCTTTCGGCAACATCATCCGTGGTAGGAGAACTAGTCATGGTGTACTATGGGATGATACCACACTCTTTTAGGAATTTAGCAAATGGTCCTAGACGTTGTTCAGCTAAGTTCATACATGTTGTAATACTCACCACGACGGTCAACTCCGATGCTTTTGATACTTTTATTGAGTTGGTTGTCAACTTTAACTTTGTAAGATTTGAACACGTCCAGTGATTGGGACTTTTCATGTATGAGATAAAGGTAGCTATAACATGAAAACTCACCTATGAACATGATAAAATATTGTTGACCATTTACAAAAACGATAAGGAATGGCCCACAAATATTTGTATGTATCAGTTCTAAGACGTCTGTAGCCCTGTTGGCACCAAATGTTTTTATATTTGTTTGTTTTCCCTTAATGCAATTAGTATAATTTTTAAAGTTTATAAAATCAAGAGGATCTAGAATCTTGTCTGGCATAAGTTTCTCAATTCTCCTTTTGGAGATGCGACCTAATCTCTTGTGCCATAACAAAGTAAAATTCTCATTAGTCAAATTTGTCTTTACACCTCGAGTGCTTAATTATAAGGTTTCATGATATGAAGTAACCATATCAAGCAAATAAAAGTTATCAACATAAGATAAAGAACCGTTACCAACTAAATTTGAATTCTAAAAAAACTAAACTTGCCATTTCTAAAAGAACAAAAATAACCAAATTTGTCCAATATAGAAATGGAAACCAAATTTCGTCTAAATGACGGTACTATATAAGTCTTTTTCAAATCCAAATAACAAAAACTTTAACAATAACCTAAATCTCCCAATTGCATCAACTTTAACCTTCTTGTCATCATCCATATAGATGTATGTTTCACCATCACTTAGCTTTCGGTAACTCAGACAACCCTACATAACACATTGATATTAGTTGTGGTAGCAAAATTTGACCACAATGTGTGTCTAGGTACCGAAGATAAAAAAAATTAACCTCATAACAAACAAAATTGAAAAGTGTATCTTTCTTTGCACGTCATGCGTAATAGTTGGTATAATTTTTCTTCTTATGTCCTATAGCCCCACAAAATAAACAATCTTTTTTATTGACATGGTGTTATTTCTTTTGTGACCGAGCTTCTGTAGCTTCCTTATTTTTCATTCTTTTCTTCCCTTTGTCCTTGAAAGTACTAGCCAAATAAGCACTTTCTGTCTTTTCTTACTTTAATTTTTTCTCTTCTTGCACACAATGTAAGATAAGCTTATTAAGAGACCATATCTCTTTTTGACAATTGTAGCTCACTTTAAATTGACTACATTATGTGGGAAGAGATATGGGAAGAGATATAAGAACTAAATGCACACGCAAGTCCTCAGAGAGTTCAAGCTTAAGTGATTTCAACTTTGAAGCAGTGTGAGACATCTCCATGATATACTCCCTAATGTTTCCTTTTCCTTTGTATCTCATTAAGATAAGATTTATCAAAAATGTACTAGTTTTAACATTTTTATTATTAGCAAACCTTTTCTCAATGCCCTCAAGGAACTCTTTGGTTGTAGTTATCTTCTCAAGTATAGTACCCCTAAATGCTTCTGGAATGGCCCTCTTCATGATCATCATACACATGCAATTTGACTTCTCCCACCTCTCCATGTTCCTTTTCTCATAAGTGGAACTTTTATCCATGTGTAGGAGAAGAAAGCCTTAAAGCAAGGTCGAGATTCATAACTCTAAAATTATTATAACATTCTCTTGCCATGAAAAGTTGGTTCCATTTAGCATAATAATAGAATTAATGTTGGTAGTGATGTTTGAAGCAAAACTAACAGCTGAATTAGAGAACAACATAAGAAAATAAATAAGCTCACACAAGAAACCAAATAAAAAATTATAAATTTAAAATTAACAATACCCAGCTCAAGATACCTAACACAATATTAAAAATTCTTCTTTGGACAAAGATATTTAATTTGTAAGTGATCAAACATTGACAATATGACATGTCAAACAATAAACCTTTCTTTGGACCAAATTTATCGTTTGCATGTAAAATCGAATAGTTGTCCATATTTATCACCACATATATGCATATGATTTATTAAAATATTAACCTTCCTTTTGGCTAATTAATATTTGCATGAACCATATACAGACTACCATGTTGATGTTTAAAATAAGTTGATTTATACAAGATAGGCTACTTTGGTAACATATTATTTCAATCAATTATATTATAAATCATATATTTTAATAAACTTTAGTATCAATATTTTGAATCCAATCAAAATAAAATAAAAAACTTCTAAATGTCAGCCCAAAATAATAGCAAAAATATTTTTTTGCTCTTCAACATTGTAGTGGCAACAGCAGAAAACCAATACTATAGCAATTTAAAAAAAAGATTTCTAATCTGAAAACTTTATTTGATGAAATAATCATGAATACATAATGAAAACCGAATTAAAACATCTAAATTTCTCAAAAAATTATGCATATTCATGACATGATGATTAAACCCTAATTTTCAATCAAACATGAATTCTTCCAAAATCGGATTCATAAAATTCAAAATATAATAACACCTTTGAATCCGAAATCATGAAGAATATATAAGAGTAAGAACTAACAAATTTTGTTATCAAGTTAAACAATTCAAAAGGAAGGTTTTTTTAGATTTGAGAACATACAAGAGAATCACATCACAAATTAAATTTGATTCTCAATAAATTAACATGAACACCGCTCTGATACCAATTGTTAGATCAAAAGAAACTTTATTTACTTTAAGAGATGAAACCCTAATCAATCTCAAGATTGTTCATGTCAAACTATTGAGATAATTAAGAAGATGCAGAACCATACCTGAATTTATAGAGTAGGATGTGATTCTTGAATTTTGAGATGTAGATCTTTCAAATCTTGTATGTATATCCTCCTTAGAGAAACCCTACTTTTTCTAAAGATGGGAAATCAGAAAGAAATTGTACATATAGATTTGGGAAGCCACAACCCTATTTATAACTAAATCTAGTTATTCATAATTATCAATTTAGTCCATCATAAAATTAACAATTATATTTTGGTCTCTACACATAGGAGGCTCATAGTACTTTAATTATGCATTAAAAATCCAAACCCTAAATTAGATCACTTTAATAGGCTAACCTTAATTGACAGCACACAGAAGACATTTATTTAATATATTGGTTCATCATTGGATATAAATCCAACACTTAAAAGATCCTTAATTTTGTTAGTTTATGCAACAATACTACAAGGACTCTATTTCAAGTCTTGATCTTTGTACAGGCTTAGCAAACATAAGCCAAACAAATTAAGGAACTTTCCACAATTTTTGGAAAACCTCAACACAATATGAAAAATTCATTTCATGCGCTCTTAAAAATCTCATTTGGCCCTTGCAAGATCCACAACNCATGTCAAGTCTTAATCTTTGGACGTGCATCCCAAAACTTTAACCAAAAAGAATTGATTTGTCACTCGTTTTAATCCACTTCTTTGTTCTATTGCGTATGTAACAAAAGACCTTTGCCATAAATTTAGTCATAGACAATTAATATATTACAAGTCAACTACCATTTCAAGTTATCAATGCCAAGATCTTACGTTAGATTTTCAAATGGTACATACACTCGATTAATCAAAGAGATCTTGACAGATCAACAACTTGACATAGACCTGCACATTTCCATTCTAGGTTCTTTTACTAACCTTTTCCTTTAAAGACTCTTTTGTTTCTTCTCATAAATGTGGATAAGAGAAACACTAACCATTCCATTCTAATTAACTCGTTGCTAAGGTTTGCTCTTGTTCACTCTTGCGAAAGTTGAGCAAGAGGGGATGTAAATATTAGTTGTCCTCGAGATAACAACGCTTTTGGGTCATATTTTCGTTTCATTGATACAAACATATCCCATTTTGATCCAAAATGCTTCTTCCAATCGTCAACATGTCCATAATGTGGCAAATATTGCTTGAAATTTATGCCCCCTTGCTCACAAAATCGCAGAATCTCTTCATTCTGATTCTCCAAAGACTTCCAATTATCGATAGTAGCTGATCTCAGTAGCCCTATAGAATAGAAAATCTCTTCATCGGGTATCACTGCTGACATTCTCTCATCCCACCTGTAAAAAATTATCACAAACATTACATGTATCACATAATTAACATATACATGTTAACATCTAAATTACACACTCACTTGTTCTTATTCATTGGATAAATGAGAATTGGCCCCGTCGAGTTGTTGTATTTGAGGATTTCTTTGAATACTCCTTGATTAAATTCAAATATTTTGGATTTGGCTACAAAAAGATTGAGCCATGGATGAGGGACATCCCATAGGTTCATCGAGCGAAGCTTGAGCTCCCCGTGGTAGACTCTATTGAGAAAACTTGTATAGGATACGTCGTTTGTGAATGCAAATCCTGGAACAAAGTTTAAGTCTTGGTACAAGAATTCTAATCCCTATAGACAAGAGAAAAACAATCAGATTTATGTACAAAGAAGTCCTAATTAGTTTTGTTAGCATGCGGAAAGAGAGAACAGTGTGTATTCAATGCTTATAATGCGATAGTGCATTCAATGGTTTGTTACAAGTTCAGACCAATTTGTTCATGGTTTCACACATTTCATTCTATATAACTTGAAGTGTCTGCATTCACACAATGCAAATCAACATGTATATGCAATATTTAAGGGGTCAATCTAGGAAATTTTGCTTCCTTCACATTCTTTAATTTAGTGATTAAGGTTAGAGA